ATGAAACCTAATAAAGGAAAAAAATTAAAATAAGATACATATATCGTCTAATACAGATAAAACAATATAAACGAGAAATAAATTTTATTTTCATTTATATTCCTTAGGAAAGTGTTGATAATCGAAAATTGTAAATTAATAATTCGCCAGTGAATTTGTGTAGACACGTTTAAACATTATGTAATTGTTTGCACAATAACGTTTGCAAAATAGTGTAAAAGATAGACGAATCTCAGTCTATTTTTCCGAATTGCTCGATGTTTTATCTCGAGTTCGCATAATGGGGCACATTCATTCGCGCGAATGTGAAGCTGGGTGATAAATGCGAGTCATTATGCCTGATTATGTAAATGAATGTAATTGCATAAATATTCATCCGTGTAATTCGCGCGGTAACGTACGAGATTTATAAAAAAGAAAAGAACCTCCCGCTTCTCTTCTTCGACTTAATGCTCAATCACCGGCCGTCAAGCCCGTCTACTCTTCGGGAATGCGGGTGTACGATTCTCGGCGCTGGTCGTCGGGCGCGCTGGCCGGCGAGATTTAGATTCCCGGTAGAATTGGCCATCGTATTCCTTCCCCCTCCTGCTCCTCTCCGTATCGCCGTTAGCATTGCCATGCTAAATGCTCTCTCTCCCCGCGGTTTAACTGTAATACGGATTCCGTCGCGCATCTGAAGATATCTCTGGCAAACACCGATCTCGTATGTAAGTCAGCGGTTGGCGCTTGTTTCACGCGTTTCGAGCCAACTCCAGCAAGTAAACAATGATACTGTAAAAAGAAACATATAAAACGTACGAGACAATGTTTACAATGGACAAGGATACACCTATTTATGTTTTGTTATAAATTGTATAAATCTCAGGCTTGTTACGCAAGCAATTTTACGTTCCTTTTTTTATATAGTGTGCCTCTAAATAGACTCACATAATAAATATTTATACGTTACATAAATATTTTTATCTGATTGGATAAAAAGTTGGGGAAAAAGCCTGTTTCTTCTTCAAGGAATTTTTTCAAAGGCAAGTTTTAAAATCAGAACTTTGTTAAACAAGATATTAACCGTATTTTTTTCTCTGCCATCTTTTTAGATAGTTTTATTATTCCGTTCTCATTGAGCACGTAATGTTATATTTAACGATAGTCATTTATAGAAAAAAAAAAAAAATTTTTTTTTGTTCAATTCAGTAAATAGAATATACCTAACTGAATTACGCGCGTCACGCTTGCTTTGATTTTCGAAATAACATGCGAATTAATAAATTCGCGAATGTCAATACGACAGGTATTAATATAACAATTAATTACAATGATTATAATAATTAATTGTAATTATGATATTAAATGACATATATAATACAAAATAAAAATAATTCGACTTTTTTTCCAACAGAATGATTCGCAAAATGTTTTTTTTGTTTTTGTTGAATATTGATTTACGTTCATTTTAATATTTCATTAAATGTCCCAAAATTTATGTAACACAAATATGATTATCATAATACATACATGAGTGATATTTAGAATCAGCCCTTTGACTTGTCCGAATAAACTCGTAATCAGCGATCTCGTTGATATACGGGAGCCGTTGCTCCCGGTATTTGCGGACCGTTCTGTGTATGGATGCGAAGTTCCGGATGCTTAGAGTTTAATATTTTCATGGAACTCATTTGAGACGCTTGGCGCTCCAGTTTCCGCTTTTACTGCGTCGTAAGTACGGGTGCCTCGGATGGGGGAACTTTGCGAGTAGGCCGTAACGACATAATGTGGCCTAATACGCGACAGTTTGATAAGAGTTTCGGGTTGAAGAGCTATTTCAGCGAGCACGTACCGTCTCGCGGTTACTCGCAGTAGCTATATATCCTTCGTTCGCAACCAGAAGTAACTTCGCCGGCTTAATTTAGAAACATTATGACTCTTCCAAGAGCAGATTACATTGCAATAATTTCTTGCTCTTAAGGCAGCTTTTGTCAAGAGGTTTTAAAGGACGGAACTAAAAGTACGAAGAGAAGGGCAATTATACGGGACGAAATTCCATCCTGATCTAGCGATTAGCGAGATTTACTCGAATCGTCCCGTCTCTCTCTCTCTCTCTCTCTCTCTTAGCTTATAGATGCTTGTGTTATGTCTTGCATTTGAATCGTACGCTCGTGATACCAGGCTCGCATCGCGACGCGCTTGTATACCCCGCATCCACTCGCGAGATCGAAATAATTATGCGACAAGGAGCGGAAGTGCGATCGTACCGAAGCATGAGATGTAATTCGACGCTGATGCACAACGATGAAGCGTCCCTTTGTATCTACGGACATGGTGTATGCGCTCGACACTCGCACACGATCGCATGCCATCGGTAATCACGATACGTCAAGACGCGCCACGCCGGTCGTGTCGCCTGTCCGTTGCGAGGCTGTGCGATATGCGGAACTTTCTTTCGAGTAATTCGTAATGCGATTGCGAGAGGGCATGGCGACGATCTTGCACGCGGTGTGTAATCGGATAACGGACTTGACAGCAGTGAGAGTGGGTCGACCCTTTTCATGTAACGACCGCTTTTCCGCGGGCTGTCGATCGTTTTAGCGAATGAAATTCGAGATATCTCACGACAATATATGAAATAAAAGAGAGAAAGAGAGAGGAAAAGCTTGAAAGTGGCTCTTGACGTTTTTCCGAAGTTGCGCGTGGGCTGTATAACTTTTTAACTGATGATAAGAAGATAATGGCATTTCGTAATAGTTTCCGTAAAACGCTTTTAAATTTATTCATTTGTAATATGCTTAACAAAGTAGGAATCACTTATTAATAATATCGCTGTGCACGCGTTGTACGCCCTGAGGGACGCCCTGGGTTTCCCCGGGCGACGCTTTATTTTGAAGCGAGAGTTCACAGTAACGGCGCGCGGAAACTCTCTCGCGCGGATACAGGCGGCGTTAATTAGCACTTTCCTAACAAATAGAGCAAAGGTTCATATTTTGCTCCCGCGGGCCGCGCTGCGGAGTTCGGTGAATGCCAATTCACTGTAATCAGAAAATCGGAAATCTATTTATCTTCGCGTTTGTTTTGCGTGCTGTCGGGTCGCGCACTCGTTTGCATAAAGGCAAACGTTTAATTGATCGCCACCGCTGCAGAGCGGAAGAAATAACGGCGGGGCCGCATCGGTGACTTCGTATCGCGTGTATCGATCTCCGAGTGTGTATAACGCGACCGAGCGTAACGCCAGGAGTCGAAAGTCGGATATCAGTGACATCGGTCGTTCCCAAGTCGCGCTTCCACGACCCGGAGCGTCGCACCGGATGTTCTCACGAATTTACGGAAAAATTCGCTCGGCGTTGAAAAACCTGCTGTCAGTATCGAGATGGGGCAAGGTTGGATTCGATGACGGGTCGGTGAAACGAATTAGAGACGCGCGAATGAAGCGACTTAGGTGATTTTAGTGTGATTGTAGAAACAACGTTAGAGCAATCGGACTTCTACTATTTATGCTTTTCTCGAAGTTATTATTATTAACATTGATACCGTTACATTGGGGGGAGGGGAGGGGGATGTTCTTTGTGTTAGAACTCGAGATCTAATCCTTAAAAATGTATATGTATCTTATTTCCTATATAAGTAGCACGAGTTCGAAAGTCTTGTGCAACAGCCCGAAACATGCAGGCACGTTATCGATTTTGTTGATGCTAGGCATAGAGGCGTTTACCAAGGTGTTCCCACGGGATTCCGCTGAAAAAGTTCGCCGATCGCGAAAACCTGTTCCCGCGGACGGAAAAACGGAATAAGTGCCCGCTCGGTTTCTAGGAACGGATGACGGTGCCGATTAAAAGGGAGATGACTCTGCGCGAGCACCGCGCGGTGCGTAACGCGTCGCGAGTTTACGATCTATAACTTCCTCCTCGTACTTCTTTCTCACCGGCTGGTATGATAACATATGCTTATGCGACACTTTATAGTTCATCAAATCTCCTTACTCTCCGTCTCTCGAATTGCGATCGCGGCCATCTCGCATGACTGCTCGATTCGCTCGTATAAAACGACTTTGTTGCGCGCAACACTTGAGAATTTTTGCCAAGCAGGACGGCGCGCATAGTTATCCTTGAATTTTCGTATCTTTTTTTGGGGTGGAAATATGAATGTATAGAGTTTTCGGAGCACGCGAAAATCGGAGTAAAGTAGAAGTTTCAAGTTGTACGAGAAACGTAGTGAGTCTAGCTACGCTAACTCTCGCAAGTATTTGCATTTCATATTTCGCGAAGGTATAACGATAAAGATTTTGAAGAAGGTCCTTTACCTTGAAGATACATGCGATACGAAAGTCATTTAAAAATAGAATACCAGTGTTAGAGGAAATTACGTGAGAAATTCTACGGGTGAGCAAATATTTATGAGTGTATATAGGACACGCTGCGAGAGCGTATATACTTTCCCCAATATTGTGTCGGGATAGAAATTGCTGTCATTTAGGGGCGGCGGAAAAATTTACTCAGTCTCAGTCCTTCGACTGTATATCCTCGAGCCGGTGGCTAATACGAGTAAGTCGACGGAGATGCGTGTGGACGATCAGGTGAGGGTTGTCGAAAGAAGCGGGACGACCGACAGCGAGACCGACATCGACTTCTCTCGCGCGGCGAGGACGACGCGGGTCGGGTCACGAACACCAGGGAAAACACAACGGATGAGGAAAAGGGACAAAAAAAAGAGAGAACGCGGTGGGCGCGGATGTAGGCGGTAGGACAGACGAGAGGAGTGTACGGGTAGAGGACACACGACACGGGGGGGTGGGCCGCGGCTGGTGTGTGTATCCATCGCGCCGAGGGTGGAGAAGGACCTGCGCGCGAATTTCCCGCGTTCGCCCAACTCTCATATTGATCCCACCCCAGCGAACTCCCTCGTTCTAGCGGGAGGTGGGAAGGCGCGCGGGGAGGACGGGTGCAGGGAGGCGGCCCGGCAAGGGTGGTTCGTCGGCGTTATAACGCCGGACCGAGTGTGCGAGTGAGTGAGTGATCAAGTGAGCGAGCGAGCGAACGGGAGAGACCGAAGGGTGAGTCGCAGAATCGCAGGCGCTCCGAGGGTGGTCCAGCGCGCGTCGGAGTCGTCGTGCTCTTCCCGATCGGGATTCGCGAACGTGTCTTCGCCGTCGCCGTCGCTGTCCGCCGTCGCTATCGTCGCCGTCGTTGCTGTCGTGTGTGTCGTGTCGCGCGCTCTCGTCGCGTTATACCCTTACGAGGGAGAGTCGGCTCGTTTTTCCGCCGTTCTACCGGTGTATGTGTGTGTATATGTGTGCGTGTGTGTAACTCGTTGATCTGGTGTTCTCGAAACGTGTTCTCGCGCGCGCGTGCAGCGGAAAGAAGTTTCGGGGAAGTTGTCGACGTGGGAAATTGGCGAAAGTCGAGCGGCAAAAGTGTGCGGCGAGTGTTTGCGGATCGGTCGACGACACCGTTGTTTTTCGGTACACCGCGGGCCGGGTTGTTGCAGCAGCATCGCTATAGTTGTGTATAGTTAATGAGATTCGCCCTCACTTTCCATTCTTAAACCTCTAAAAGTTATTAAATAGAGAAGAAGAACGAGAAATACCACCGAGCAAATTTCATACGCCAAGACTGACCCTTGACTTTGCTGCCTCGATTTACGATCGGCATCGCGACACGGCCTCGCGCGAAGCCATCGCCAGCGGGAAAGTGCATAAAGCGCGAGTGCGAAACCATTTACCAGACTCCTTCGTGCGCCGTTTTTTTTTCTTCTTCTTCCCCATTGTGTCCGTTTTACTACCATTTTATGTCGAAGACGAGGCTGACGGGAGAAAGTACGTAACGCGCGAATCGGCTCGGTAATCGAGTTCGCCGAGCCAGTTCTCGCACCGAGCAATATAACCGTTTTAGTTTGCTAGCGCGAATCACGCTGATGAAGCTGCTTATAACGTGAGAAGGAAATTGCTCTTGGTTAAATAATAAAAAGCATATATTGTCCTACAAATTGAAAATTAACAATTTTGAATGCATCTATATGCAAATCTATTCGTAGGAATTCATATACATTATGCCGCGTCCACTTGGCGACAGACCACGCTTAACTGATTAAATTGTTCAAGAGGCATGTGCCGCTTTGTACTCAAATGGTATGCGTCTCTTGAATGACCTAGTAACTGCAAATTAGTTCTGGAGCTATAGATAACTATAGCCGTTATTGAGAAATGGCATTATATACGTCAACGAGATTTGAACGACTCGTAATTCGTCTCGCCAATAATCGATACGCCGCCAGTAATCGTCATAATCGTCGGGGGTTGTTCTCGATGAATGAAATAACAGCTGCAACTTTTCGGTTAATATTGGTTTAGAAGATTAGTTATCGCGGTCGCGCTGCCATCGGATGATATCCCGAATAGTTTTTTCCGAACGCGAAAATATTTTTCGGGAAATATATGCACGCAGCTATGCATACGTCGGCTTGATTGCACGTGCGTTCGCGTGTGGGAGACTCGCGTAGTCGACAATCCGCGACGATCTATAGTCTATACCAACGATTCATAACGTTCTATAGCGATCACGTCGTAGCCGTGACCGACGGTTCGCAACACGCTCGGAACAATCTCCGTGGCCTCGTTTGGCGGTCAGAAAAAATCAATGCGAGCATATTTAAATACAATTAGTTGAAATATAAATTTATTACGTTACTTTTTTCTGATTCAACGTAGAATGTAAGTTACGTAAGTGCAAATTAAATTTTAAATGGCAGGGAAAAAGTAAAGAGAATAACTGCTCTACATCCTTCAGGAAAGTTGGCACGAGCATCGACAACAAGCTGAAAGTAAGTCTCGAATGTGATACAAACGAGGATTACAGGGTCTGTTGGATTTAATGAGCCATAATATGATATGATACTCCAAAGCGCTCTTCGCTTCGCAAAATGTACTCCGCCGACCGCATAAAGCCTTTCATCGTTGCGTTATAATCGTCGTATTTACTGCCGCTAGTAAATTGTTTGTGCAAGATCTGCATTTTTGTCGGACCGAGGGCGAAAATTTATGTGAGCGCTAATATAAATCCAATTCTAACAATTAAACCGATTAAACGCGTATCGCGCGCTTAACTCCGCATTTAATTACATACGGATTATAGGTCTTTAATTAAAATTGCCTCGGATACATATCTGTTGATGTCGCAGATTGAACTTTGCCATAATCAATATAACTAGTAATCATATTATTACATTCGAAGACTTACACGTTAATTAAAGTATTGAGAAGCGCGACACGGAATTCTATTTCCCAGTGATTTGATCGATCGGTGCTTTTAGCACCGTAAATTAAATATCAAGAGAAATATATCTCATGATTAATATATTATCTGTATAATATCTAGCATTAATGTTGACAACAATACGTTCTGCAATTTTATATTATGAGTGATTTAGAGAGCTAATAGATTCGAGCAGCGAATCGAAATAACGCACAAAGATATATGCACGTTGATGAATTCACGGTGCGAACTGTATTTTCCGGAATCGTTCCACGAATACCGGAACGAAATGGAACATTCTCGTAGTATCGACATGGGACACGTTTCGCCTTGGCGAGACGTCGGGGTTTCGCCCTCGACGAGATCGATCGATCGCCTGTGTCGCCGTCGTCGTCGTCGTCCGCGTCTCGCTCTCGCAACAACTTAATACCCGGAATCTTGTTCCACGTGTAGGCCCGGGCTCAGGCTCGCTCGTAAATACACCCGTGGAACGCGTAAAAGTCCGGAGGCCCGGTCGTGACGCCCGCGTTAGAAGGAGCCCAGGTGGCGAGCTCGAATGCATGCGAATGACTCGGGAATGACTCAAGCGGATCCATTACGAGAAAGAAAGCGATCCGCAAATGCAGAATCGTTTTATCTCTTTAAGCGCTATAAATGCACTGCCAGAGATCTATGAATGCTGCGAACATGAGAATTTTTCAGATATTAAAAATGAAATGTGTAAACTGTAAATAGTTTCTCTATTTTAAATGCGATATTCGCGTATATTGACTCGTCAGTAGCAAGAAAACGAAAATGGCATCAAATGAAATTTTTATACATGTACAAATCCCCTCCCTCGTCGGTAAGAAAAAAATATCTGTCTTGAAACATTTCTTTGACTGATGAAAGTTCCGAAGGGCCGACAATTAAAGCGTTAACCCTTGCCTCGTGTAAAGTGAATCATCTGTGCCCACATTGTTATATTTGAACAGACGTTTCGGATCACGCTTGTAGTTAAGCTTCACAAGTTATTAAATATCCGTGAGAAAATTAGTAGAGAAATATTGTGCGATTAAAATTTGCCCGCCGCACAGTGAGGTTGAGTGCCGTCTGTCAAGTCACGTTCGAGAAAGGATGATTTAAAAAATTGCATTTGAATTCCATTTAATGAGAACATTAATTCAGAATATGGAGATAAAAACCTCGAAACAATGTTTAGTGAGTGTGAAACTTTTAGAAATATAAGAAACTTTCGTTTTATGCTGAAATTATGGATGAATTAAATTTTGTTCGCGTTCCTTGACTGGCTGATTTTATTGCTGTCCATTTCGGTACATGCGATTCGGTGGACTGTAATGGGGCCCAGAACGGCCCCGACTACGCAGAAGAGAGAGAGAAAGGGAGATCGGAGAATGGTCTACGTACACATCGATCGAGAACAGTGCACATGCATGTCGGATACACCGCCGTGATAAATCATTAACCGGGCGTGTTTATTGGCCATGCTCGAGCAAATCCCGGCTGGTGGTTGATTTATTGTCCGGCACCGATGCCGATCGGCCGGCGATCGATCGGTCGTGACTCGCGAATCGGGCGCAACAGGCGGGTCCGGGCGTCCGATACGGAAGCTCGGAGGAACGGAATTAGGTGCGAGATCGGCGTGGGCGTTTAGCGGTTTCGTGGGAAGAGGTGAAAAAGCGCGATAGAGAAAGGATCAGCATGCATAATAAACGAATATCGCCCGCGTCGTCGTGGGGGTTGAGAGCAAGGAATTAAACAAATGTTTAAAATTAGCATCTCAAGTATTTTTACCTCGTAACCCAGTTCGAGCTTCGCGCCGGCGAGCAACGCTTTGTTTAGAGAATAGCTATCCGTTGTCAGAAAGAGATGTCCTCTCTACGCCGAGACCCTGACAGCTTAAGTGTAAAGAAAAAGGAAAAGAGAGCAAAGTGGAAAAAAAGCTGTTTGCCAGGAGTATGCGACGCGGAGACATCAATTTCTCACCCGGTCCCATTTCCCGATCGCAGCTCCACAGGTTACGCGATGTAAATCAGGTCGAACCGCCGCGCCGTCCGGTATTGAAGTTCTATATACAGCACGAAGTAAACTGCCACGGTCGTAGGCTATCTCCATTCTTGACACGTGTATGCGATAAAGTGCACGCGATGGTCCCCTCTCGCTTGATATTACGCTGTGCGCGTAGAAACGGCGATGTGTTTGAGCTAGATCTCTCTCGCGTCAACTATACTATATTCGCACACATTATGCGTTATATTATTTCTTATTTCCTTGGTATTATAAAAGTAACATGAATTTTAATTGAGTTCGCCGGTACAGAAGCAAGACCGTTTAATCCCGTCACATTGCCCGTACACGGACAGTCTCCCCGAGTACCTCAGATGAAAAATGCAATCCGGGTATTTCCCATCGTGCGGCACTCACTCGCGCGCAATTCGTCGGGCTTTTATGCGGGATCCGCCATAATCCCTTCACGTGTCGCAAATGGGTGCAGTTTGTCTTTGCCGTATCGTGACATTCTATCGTTCTCCTCTTGTATATTGTACTTCGCGAGCAGCGAGCAGCTCTCGAATATCGAGTTTATTCGGACTATTTCCGCTTATATTAATTAATATAAAGAGAAAGAGGGAGAGAGAGAGCTACGGACGAGTCTACGAGAATGGCACCTAAGTTTCCCGGCCGGAACAGTCCACCTCGCAACTATCGCGGGACGCGTCGTCCGAAAGGATCGAAAAGCACTTCCGCGGCCGCGGAGAGTCTCGGGGAAAATCGATAAATTGTCTCGCGCAATCAGGATGCGGCAGTTATCGCAAGCGAATGTCCGCCGGTGGTTGTGAAACTCACGCCTGGATATAAACTGCGGTGCGTTTACAGCCACACAACTCGCCGACTTCCTGCGGTACGCTTTATCGGAGCCTCTAGAAAAATAGCACGTCGGAAATAAGCCTTTCTCCTGATGGACGCGGGGCATAAATTTCCTAAATCGTATTATGGAATTATACTCCGCCGCGCATTATTGGCGCGATGAGGACGTTGCGCGTTTGCTGTTAACACGTGTTACAACTACTCGCGATAACTCAATATTGTTATCTTCAACTTAATCCGATATCGTTTTGTCACATTATCATTGGGATTAACAATATCTATCAATATCTAAGCGCTGAATATGCTGTGTCTGTCGAACACGCGACGTACAGTCAATAAAAATCGATTTATTGCCGATAGATTTTCCCAACGATTACGAACAGTGGCTCATAAATCGAAGATTGAATTGAATTTCGCGGATGCGGTTTACAATTTTTCCGTCATTTCAATTCCATTTAATATCTACCGCGTTTTCTTCGTTCGATTTCACTGATTTCTTCCATTCGAACTCCTTGGGTAGCCGCCACTTATTCGAGAACACTCGTCTTATCTTATCAATGTTATCGAATTGCGCCCACGCGTTTCCCCAAGGTTTGAGGAAATGTTTCGATAGTTGACTTTTTTTCGGACAAGTAACTTTATCGTCTTTTATTAGCTACTTGTCTAGCAAACGTTTTAGATGCTTTTTACCGAGCCCGTC